TTAAGTGACAGCAATCTGTATAGATGCAGTGATGGAGTTTCATTGTTTCTTAATCCTGAGAAGACCTCATGCTAATTGGCTTGGTGAAATGTTGAATCTCCCTGCCTGTTCAGTTCAACAAACATTTTTAAACAACTACTATGTGTATGGCACTCTCCTAAAGCTGAAAATTTTTATTGGGCCTGCACTCCCAGTGAGAAAACTCCTTTACTGATACAAATTAGCAATTTATATGTAACTTCTAGTCTTAGAAAGTTCCTTAGAAAATTATCAAGGAAAACTGCCCTGATATAGTAGAACCAGAGGGCAAAATAGAAATTGAAAGAATCCACAGATCTCCTCCTGAAAGAGATCCCCAAAGGAAAACTCCTAGGAATATTATAGACAAATTCCAGAGTTCCCAGGTCAAGGAGAAAATATTACAAGCTGCCAGAAGGAAACAATTCAAGTACTGTGGAAACACAATCAGGATAACACAAGATTTAGCAGCTTCTACATTAAAGGACCGCAGGGCATGGAATATAATATTCCGGAGGGCAAAGGAGATAGGATTACAACCAAGAATCACCTACCCAGCAAAACTGAGTATAATCCTGTAGGGGGAAAAAATGGTCATTCAGTGAAATAGAGGACTTTCAATTCTTGATGAAAAGACCAGAGCTGAATAGAAAATTTGACTTGCAAATACAGGACTCAAGTGGAACATGAAGAGGTAAACAGGAAAAAGAAATCATAAGAGACTTATTAAGATTGAACTGTTTACATTCCTGCATGGAAAGATGATATTTATAACTCATGAGACCTTTGTCAGTATTAGGGTAGTTGGAGGAAAAAAATTATATGTATGTATATGTAGATAGATAGATAGAGGGCACAGGGTGAGTTGAAGATTAAGGGGTCATATCTGGAGAATAAAATGAAGGGATGAGAGAGGATTATACTCGAGAAGAAGAAAGGGAGAGGTAGATGGGGTAAATTATCTCACAAAAAAACAGAAAAGTCAAGTCTCTTACAGTGGAGAGGAAACAGGGGAAGGTGAGAGTGAATGAGTGAATCTCATTCTCACAGGATTTGGCTTAAGGAGGGAATAACATACACATTCAATTGGGTATGGAAATTGTCTTACCCTACAGGAAAATAGGGGGAGAAGGGGACAAGAGAGCAGGGGGATGATAGAGAGGAGGGCAGATTGGGAAAGGGGGTAATCAGAAGCAAATACTTCTGAGGAGGGACAGGGTCAAAAGAAAGAATAGAATAAATAGGATTAAGGGAACATGTCTACTATGGAAGTGTTTTGCATAACTGCACATGTACAACCTATATTGAGTTGCTTGCCTTTTCAATGAGGGTGGGTGGGGAGGGAGGAAGAGAGAAAATCTGAAACCTAAAGTTTTAAAAACATATGTTTAAAAAAATGTTTTCACATGCAACTGGGAAATAAGAAATACAGGAAATGGGGTACAGAAGTCTATCCTGCCCTGCATGAAAATAGAAAGGGAAGGGGAAAAGAGAAGGGGAGAGAGATAGAAGAGAGGACAGACTAGGGGAAGGGATATTCAGAATGCATGCCATCTTGGGGTGGGGGGAAGGGGAAGATGGGGTGAAAATTTGTAACTCAAAAACTTGTGGAAGTGAATGTTGAAAACTAAAAATAAATTTATATATATATAAAAAAGGAAGTTCCTTAGGGCGCTGAAAAATTAAATCTTTTGTTTACGTTCACATCTCTAGAATGAGGTGATAGAATCAACAGATATTTATTAAGGGTCTGCTATATGCTAGACCTGACACTATTTATTGGAATTACAAAGACAAAACAAAATAGCTCCTGCCCTAAGGAACTTAGGTTCTATTATTGGTTATACAAAATGAACACAGATAAGTAAAGGCAAAATGGATAGAAAGTAATTTTGGTGTGGGGGACAGCATTCACCACTGAGGAGATCAGGGAAGGCCCCACATAGAAGGTGACACCTGAGTTGAGCCTTGAAAGAAGCTAGAAATTCTAAGAGGCAGAAGTGAAGAGGGAAAGCACTCCAGACTTGGAAGCCTATACATAATGTTGGTCAAAGTAAATTTTCTGGGCCTCAGTTTCCTCATGTGTCAGATGAGGTGGTTAGACCAGAATGACTTCTGTCATAGAATTTGTCCAAGAATTTGGAACTCAAAGTTTTAAAAACAAATATTAAAAATTGTTTCTACATGTAACTGGGGAAAAATAAAATGCTAATATATATATATATATATATATATATATTTTAAGTGCTTTTCTCTTAATGCTGAAACATTAGAGGATCAGACATGTTTTGCCTGGCCTGAGAGAGAACTAGGAGCAGTAGATGAAAAATTTTAAAAAGGCAAATTAAGGATTGATATAAGGTAATACTTTCTAATAATTAAGTTTAGCTGAAAGTGGAATGGGCCTTCTCAACAGCTATGGGGAGGGGTGGTTTTCTCATACTGGAAGTCTTAAGCAGATGCAATATTTTGTAGATTAGTTCAAGAATTTTGTAAAAGAGAATCTTGTTCAGCTACACATTAGAGTGAGTGGTCTCTGAAGTCCCTTCTATGATTCTATGATTCTGGTAGCCAGATAATCCAGTTTTATCTTGGAATTAGAAATAGTCTGTGGCAATACAATGATCCAAGATGATTCCAAAAGACTTGTGATGGAAAATGCTAACCATATCCGAAGAAAGAATTGTAGAGTCTGAATGCAGACTGAAGCATACTATTTTCACTTGTTTTTTTCATTTTTTCTTTCTCATGGTTTTTCTCTTTCATTCTGATTCTTATTCCACAACATGACTAATGTAGAAATATTTACATGATTGTACATGTATACCCTATTGTTTGTTGTCTTGGGGAGAACAGAAGGGAGGGAGAAGGGGAGGGAGAAAAATTTGGAACTCAAAATTTTACAAAAATAAATGTTGAAAACTATCTTTACATGTAATTCGAAAAAAAAATAAAATACTATTAAGGGGGAATAAAAGAAGTAGTCTGTGGAAAATACAGATAGTTGTGAGCAGACACTGAATCCAAGAAGAAGGAAGAAATCTTTTGATATTCTGTATCCAAAAGAGATGGGTTTTTTTCCAAGTAAGTTGGTTATAAATAACAGTTAGGTGAGAGGAGAGAATGGCAAAGAATGATTTATCCAAAGAAGAGTGGGGCAGGTATCAGTTAAGTTTCATGTTGAGAGCTTCCAGAGATGGGTTTGGTGACTCAGAATAATATTGCAGGTCTGGGTTTGTCAGTGCTTAGGGATCTTTATCATCATTTGTTGTCATCATGTATGACGTACACTAGTCAGATTAGGTATCTTAATCACAGGTGAGATAAGGATAAGGGAAAAAAACCTCAATAGAAACAGGCAGAGTAGCTGGTCATATAAGGTATAATTACTTAATACCATGAAAATTCTATCCACACAGGAATGCTTTTTTTTCTTTTTCTTTTTCTTTTTTTTTTAACCCAGCATACTCATGATTGGTACATTAGGAAAGCACACCAGAGTAGCTTGTTAATTTTCAAGTACGTGACCATTTTCTCTCATCTCTACCCTACTATATGAGTATGTTTTCTGAAACTGACAAACATCAACAAATATGAGCACTAAAATGCTTTCCCTGGTCGTTTTGAATTCTTGGAATACTTGGCTTCCTTCAATTCAGTTTTTTTTCTTTGTCAGTTTTGTTTTTAGGCAATCAGGGTTAAGTGACTTGCCCAGGGTCATAGTCAATGTCTGATGCCAGATTTTAATTCAGGTGCTCCGGACTCCAGGGCCAGTGCTCTATCCACTGTACCACCTAGCTGCCCCTGCTTCAACTCAGTTCTAAAGTCACCTTCTGCAGGAGGCATTTTCCATTCTGCCAGTTGCTAGTGCCTTCCCCTTTAAGAGGAATAATAAGATAACTTCTCTCTGTCTGTCTCTCCCCTCCCTCATATGTGTGCGTGTGGTCTCCTCTACTAGAATGTAAGCTTCTTGATGGCAGGGACTTCTGTAGCTTTTTCTATCTGCAGTGTTTAGCATAATACCTGGAATATAATAAGTACTTAATAAATGTATGTTGATTGATTCCTGGTTCTGTCTACTTCATTCTGCCTTGGTCCATATAACTCCTTCCATGTTTTTCTACATTCCTCATATTATTATTATTATTTTTTATTTTTTGCATCACAGGAATAGTTCATTATATTCATATGCCACAATTTATTTATACATTTCCCCAACTGATCGGCACCTACAAGATAGGCACTTAATAAGACTAGCCTACCATCCTGGCAGAGCCAGCCAAACTGAGGCTTGGTTTTACATGTACAACAGCATATCCTAGGATCAGGACAAATGGCTGAAACCTAGGATGTACTTTATTTTGAATTGTACCTTTCTCCATTGAATCTAAAAAATAGTTGTGTATGTGCTTGCATCCTACCCACTGTTAAACCTGAGTCTTCCTCTCTTGATCATTTTGTTGTAGTATTTGCATATTTTGCTGAATATATTCTGTATATTTATATGTTTGCTGAACATATATACTTATAGATACACATATGTAATATATACACATACATATATGTATTAGTTATATATAATTATATGTAGTTATGTAGTTTTATATAGATTATACTATGTCATAAATAGTATATTTGTTATAATACATAGTCTAATATATAATATATACTACATATAACATATACTACTATATCATCTATATACTACGTATTTATGATATCATTTATACTATATACAGTTATAGCAAGCATATATGTACATTATAAAATACTTGAACTCAACACCTAAACAATTAAATTATTTTTCTTCTACAATTTTACAAGTTACAAAGAATGTACCAATTTACATTGATAGATGTACCAATGAAATCACAGGTCTAGTTCCTACCCCTAGTTACTGTGGCAAGCGCATTCCCAAAGCATCTATAAGGAAAGCATTGACTTCTCTATTATCCATCACAATGTTTATGTTTCTATTCCAGAAATATTTAAACCACCAAATATCAATATAAACTGCACAAATATTACTTGTAGCATACAATGGCAGATACCCAAAAGAAGAGAATTGTGGGAGACAAGCTTTGAATATCAGCTTCAAATTCAAAAGGTAAATTTTTTTTGTCACTTCTTAAATCGTACTCCATGAAACTGTGTTCCTCATATTGTGTGTGCTGAAGAATCCATTTTCCTCAATCCAACTTTCTTTCTTATCGGAGTAATTCTGTTGTACCAAAACTTCCTCCAATCTGAACAACTTTCCCTCTTTTCCTTCTCTCTAAGGTGCAAGGATGGTCTTCTCTTTTTTGGGGGGAGGGGGTGGGACTAGGTAATGGGGTTAAGTGATTTGCCCAGGGTCACACAGCTAGGAAGTGTTATGTGTCTGAGGTCTGATTTGAACCTAGGTCCTCCTGACTTCAGGGCCAGTGCTCTATCCACTGTGCCACCTAGCCGCCCACTTCTGTCTCTTTTCTAAATGGAAACAAGCCATCAACAATGAGAAATTAATTTTGGGCAATATGAAAGAATATCACAACAGGAAAAAAAGTGCAATGGTTATTGTCACCTTAATAAATAACAGGACATCATAATCACCGTTTCTAACCCATTTTCCCTTCATTTACTCCAATCCCTCTGAGGAAGTAGTTTTTCTTCTAGCCAAGGCCAACTTCTCTGCCCATGCCTTTGAGTTCTCTCATCTCCCATATCCCACGGGATTTTGCCACTTCAGTCATTCCTTATTTTCCTGTCATCATTAATCTCTCAGAATCCACTGGCTCCTTCCCTACCACCTACCAAAATGCCTTTAAAAGAAGAAAATTCTCCACTTGAAGCTGCCAAACTATCCTACGCCTTTTATTCCTTTCACAACCAGACTCCTAAAAAAGATGGTCTCATTTCCTCACTTTGTATTCGTTTGTCATCCCTTCAATATCTGACTTCCAACCCTACCACTACACTGACATTGTTCCTTTCAAAGTTGCCAGTGATCTCTTAAGCAGCCAAATCCAATGGCTTTTGTTGTGTCCTATTATTCTACTTGATCTCTTCAACTTCAGACTTTGAGATTCCCCTTTCCTCCAGGATGCTCTCCCCTCCATTTGTTTCTGTAATACTTCTTTCTCCTAATCCTTATCCTACCTATCTGATCTCTCCTCAGTCCCCCTTGCTGAGTCATCATCCTCCCAAATACCAAATACAGTTTTCTCAAGGCTCTATTGTGTGTCCTCTTCCTTTCTCTCTTTCTTTTTTTGAATTTATTTTTTTACTTTTAGGCAATTGGGGTTAAGTGACTTGCCAGGGTCACACAGCTAGGAAGTGTCAAGTGTTTGGTCTGAGGCCATATTTGAACTCAGGTCCTCCTGACTTCAGGTCTGGTGCTCTATCCACTGGGCCACCTAGCTGCCCCTTTCTTTCTCTCTTGCTATACCCTCTTTTGATCATCTCACCAGCTCCCTTGAGTTCAAATATCATTTCTATATATCTATATCTCAAATTTATATATCTAGCCCCAATTACTCTCTGGACTTAAAGGACGATATTACTTACTTTCTACTAGACATCTCCATTTGAATGTCCTGTAAGCATCTCAAACTTAACGTTTCCAAAATGCAATTAATATGTCCCCCCCAATCTTTCTCTCCTCCAAACTTCTCTACTTTTGTAGAGGGAATCCTTCTAGTCATCCAGAATTGCAGCCTCACAGTCATTCTTTACTTTTCTCTCTCTCCTTCTCCCAAATCCAATTAGTTGCCAAGTCTTTCCTGCCCGCAATACATCTGTCTCACCTATTCCCTTCTCTCTATTCATATAACCACTATCTTAGTTTACCTTGTCCCCTTTCACCTGGCCTATTGAAACAGGCTTCCAATTGGTCTTCTCCAATCTATGCTCCTCACTATTCCTGAATTGATATGCCTAACATACAAGTCTGACCATGCCACTCTCCTATTCGAAAATCTTCAGAGCATCCCCACCACCTCTATGATAAAATACAAAATTTCATTTAAAGCGCTACTTTAAGAAGCAGTGTGTCATAGTGGTGAAAGTGTTGTGAGAAAGACAAAATTCAAATCCTGCCTCTGACATTTGTTAGCTGTGTGACTATGGGAGAATCACTTAACTTCTCTGAGCCTCAGTTTCCTCATCTGCAAGATAGTGTGGGGTGAGCTGGGCTGAATGACCTCTGAAATCCCCTCCTGCTCTAAATCTATGATTCTGTTACTCTAATAAGACACTCACTTACCTCTCCTTACTTCATATAGTCTTCAAATTACTCTCCCATTTTGTGTTCTCCATTTCAGTCCAACTGACCTATTTGCTGATCCAAATATACACACTCAACATTCTACCTCCTTCCTCTGGGTCTTTGCTAAGGTTGTTTCCTCAAGTCTAGAATGTACTCCCTCCACTCCGTCTAATAAAATCTCCACTTTCTTCAGAGCACATCTCAAGTGTCACCAGTCCTACCTGAGGCCTTTCCTAATTCCCATATTTGTTGGCACTCTTTCCTTCCTGAAGTTGCTTTATATTCTCTTGTGTGTGTACTTTGTTCAAAACCACAAAGCCTTGCGGCAGCCCTATTTAGCAGTAAAAGAATTCAAGCCAAATTCCTGAGAGGGAATCCCTTGCAGGCTGAGGGGAAGAGAAGAGTTTCTTTATTTCTCATTGTCCTCTCCCCATTCCCTGTAGGCAGCCATTTGATTTTAAGAGATTCAGAGGACACCTTAGCAAAGAGAAGCGGTAGAAGTTTCCACCAGAACAGTTAGTAGCCAAAGAGAGAGGAAAGGCCTGAAGACAGATGTGAAAAGTCACCGAAAGATAGTGATTTTCAAGGAGTGAGACACTTTGTAACAGAGAAAACTGCTTACTGGGAGCTCTTCAAAGGAAGGGATCCTTAGACGCTAATAGAGGGCTACACCTAAGGGGAACCTCATGATGACTTTATGACAAGGGGACAAAAATTTCCAGTAATCAGGAATTGTGGGTAACCCCTTCTGGCACCATGTTGTCTACACATTCTTCACTACCATTATATTTCACATTTAAGCCTACTCTTTTCAATGGAGAATGTGCCCCAGATTTCTTTTTTTTTTTGGGGGGGGGTGCCAAATGTTTTATGCTAACCTTTTTTTTTTTTTTGGTGAGCAATTGGGGTTAAGTGACTTGCCCTGGGTCACACAGCTAATTCGGTCAAGTGTCTGGTCTGAGGCCAGATTTGAACTCAGGTTCTCCTGACTCCAGGGCTGATGCTTTATCCAGTGTGCCACCTAGCTGCCCCTGTACTAACCATTCTTAACCATCTCAGTAAATATATTTTTTAAAAGTGCATTACATTCTAGATGACTGATAATCAAAGGGAATTACATAGGTAAAGGTTTGTAAATAATATTAGAAACTCAGTCTATCAAGATTTACCCTGGAACCCCAAGAATCAGAATAATCTGAACTTCTGGGGACCCCATAGTAGGAATAATATATTAACTTAGCATGAGCAGCTCCATTTTATTTTAAGCTTCCATTTTGTGATTAAACAGTTGCTATGTAAGTTGTTTTTCTGTAATAAAATAAGCACTTGTATATAAATTGTTTCATATTTCAATGATTGTGTGTCCCCCAAATCTAGTAAACAACTGCTAAACATGCTAATGACATTAAGAAACTAAACTTTGGTTGGTAGTTTCCATTCCTCATAAGATTAATTAATTGATCACCAATCAGAACTTAATGTAACTGATAAATGCCTTTAGACAGGCCTATAAAAATCCACTAGAGACAATGGCCATCAATCTGCTTCTGGACGGCCAATAGAACTGATTCCTAAATTCCCCAGAGATTCAAGCATCTCATGTTCACTAGCATAAACCCATACTTAGCAGAACACTACCTTGAAAGTAGAGACAGAACTGGGCAGAGGGAAACTTTGGCTTGAGTACTGGTAAAATACATGGTTACCTGGATCTTTAGCAATCAGGTTGATGGTTTGTCCCTATAGGGGTTAATGTTTATATTGTTGAGTGGATAATTATATACAGTTGATTAATAAACAGTGATGAAATGCATCATGAGTGTAAATCTATTTTAGTATTTCCATTGCCTTAGTATATGTAATAGTAAATTGGTTTGGCATGTTCACCATGCATTATAGACACCAAACCACCAGTAGGAGTGACAGTTGGGGAAATGAGCCCAGAGGACTGCTACAAATATAATTGTGCCCTGACTACTCAGGACCAGCAACACATGTTTGGGATATGAAGGTCATGCTATAAACCAAAACTAACCATTCAGGTCAGGCTTCCTAGTAATTAGATCTGCAACCTCAGCCTCGTTGGCACTGTGGTTTAACTCATCAAGCTAACCCAAGCCATAGCAGTTTACTGCATTAGCACTAGGGTTCCCAGACTATTATTTTCACTCTGGAATTATAATTTCATCAATGTAGAGAATATTAGCATGTGGAAACTTCTGCCCTAGATACAGATTGGCAACTCCCCTTCAATAAAGTATTAGAAAGTTGCCTTAGGGGCACTGAGAGTTTAAGTGTCTTATCTATAGTCACAAGATCTGAATCTTCTTCACCTACATTGTTTCTTAGTGACTTTCAGAAACCTAGCCAGCCATTCAGAGACAAAAGTAGCTTAAAAATTGAAGGTTATCACCTCAAGGTGACAAGCCTTTCTTACCAGGGGACTTATTAACCAAGGAAGTTTCTTAATGCTATGCACAAAATAAGGACAGAATGTAAACCTGGGTGCAGCCCTTCCAAATCACAGGAATTGATAAGTCTTGTTCTTCAGAGACTTAAAGTGACCTTCAGAGACTGTCTGTACAGTAACAGCTCCTTGTGTACAAAACATAAGTTGGAGACTGTAGTAGAGGAGGAAGTAAAACAGCTGAAGGAATGCCTCTCTACTGTCTATATTAACACAAATAAGGAAGGATTTCTGGAAAAAATAGAATAGCTCCAAAGGGGATACATAGAAGAAAAAGAATCTCAAAAGTCAAAGTGGGGAATTCTAACCTGAGGTCAGGAAGTTGGAAGGTGTCAAAATATGGCAGAAGTGATGTGGTCCTGGGAACCCCAAAACCACAACACATGGTCTTGTCTAGAAGAATTCAACCCAAGCCTTCTTTCAGCCAAAGACAGGGTTTATTAGAACATCCTCATATTGGGCAGACTCTTAAGGAGTCTGAACATGAATAAGCAAGCAGTGGCTAGATTTTAGAAATCTGAGCAGTGGCTAGATTACAAGAATCTGAGCATCTTAATGGAGACAAGGTGGACCTTATATAAAGAAAGACTGTGGGAGGGACCTAGGAATGGCCAGTAAACTGAAGTGAACAGAACCCCTGGGACCTGGACCTCATGGCCAAGGGAGAATAGAGCCTAGTTAGTATTAAGGGAGGGAAATGGCCAGGGGCCATACATAGGGAGGTAAAACAAGGGAAGACCAGGCTAGATTAAAGGTAACAGAATTGGGAGATCAGGTGTAGCCACAATGAAAGGCTAATTGATGGATTACAGCCTCAGGCAAATGCCAGAGATTTGGCCAAGTGGGAAAGTCCAGGGTTTTTCCTTTCTGGGGTCTAGATCCAAACCCCATCATTAGGACCCATAAACCTTTGGAGCTCCAAATGACCAACTTCATCCTTTATGGGACTCACTAAAAAAAATAAAGTTTTATTACTTCAAGGAATGATTCATAGATGCTGCTGGGGTGCGGCCTGAACCTAGGTCTTTGTCCCTAGCACCAAAGGGAATCTGACTCCCATTTGTTTACAGGCCCAGTCCCTCCTCTCTCTTGGAAAGCCTTAGCCCTATCTTTTAATCTTATTCAGATTCACCTTTGCCCCTGCCCCAGAAAAGAATTTGGTTTCCATTTTAGGTTCCTTATGGACTCCCCTAGTCAACTCCCCTTATTTCACTTTGAAAGCCCTAGCCTCAACTTTTTGATCTCATTATCTATTCCCATTGTCTATTCAATCTCTCAGACCTTCCAATTGGAATTCTCACCCACACCCTTTTCCCAGATCCCCTCCCCCTCACCCAAAGTCACTTTAGTATATAAGATCTACCCTGGCCCCCATTTAGATGCTGAGAATCTCATGCCCAAAAGGCTGAGGCTTTCTCATGCCCACCAGTCCTTATGGGCTTCACCTGGCCTATATGTTTTGTCACTAATAAAACTTTTCCTCTGGCTGGAAGAAGATTTGAGTTGAATTCTTTCCGGCAGAGCCTGGCATCACAATCTCCAGGAGTACCCCCAAACCTCTAGACCTCTTCAGATGCCACCATGAGAGAAATCATCTAGTACTCAGAGGAAGAAGTAGCAAAGAGTGGTGTTTGACAATTTTCCAAGTGTCTTGACTAGATAACCCAATTCTCCCTCAGCAAAATTTTTTGTTGCTACTTCCATAATCAATTTTTCCTTATTGGTCAGAATTAGATCTTGTTTGTCTCACCTTTTAAAGAAAGAAATTGGGGGCAGCTAGGTGGCTCAGTGGATAGAGCTCCAGCCTTAGAGTCAGGAGGACCTGAGTTCAAATCTGACCTCAGACACTTGACACTTACTAGCTGTGTGACCTTGAGCAAGTCACTTAACCCCAATTGCGTAGCAAAAAAAAAAAGAAAAGAAAATAGAAAAAAAGAAAGAAAGAAATTAAGGCAAGTTGTGCACTTGTCAAATGCTTTGTTTTAGCAGACAGAATGTGTGCTTGAAGACATTTTGATTGTTGAAGACTCCTTTTGCTACTGATGCTATATCTTTGTTGTGGGTTTGTGAGGTTTCCTGAACTTGTCATTCATTCCTTTGGTCCATATGGTCTGTATCATAATCTAACCACATTAATTCTATTTGTTCTGTTGGTCTTGACTTAAATATTCTCTCTGCCTTGCTTCATTTTTTTGGTTCGGGGATTTCCTTGTATGTCTAGGGGAATTGGGATAGGAATTGGACCTATGATCCTAACTTCCTTTGGTTCCTTCAAGTACATGAAGCTTCTCCCAATCCCCCTTAATGCTAGTGCCTTCCATCTTTTGATTTTCTTCAGTTTATCCTGAATATATCTTTTTTCTACAGTTGTTTTCATGTAGTCTTTCCCATTAGACTGTGAGATCCTTGAGAGCAGAGACCATATTTTACTTTTCGTTATCTACCCTGCCCTTAGCACAGGACCTGGCACATTAAAGGTGTTTAACAAAAGCTTGTTGACTAATTAACTGATTTCGCCAGCCCAAGGACCTCCCAGATCAGGAAAGGCCATTTACTAATACAGGTTGACACCATCTCCAAAACATAATTTTAGAGAATTGCTTACTTTTATTTACTTTTCCTTTTGAATAAGACATACCTTTCTGTGATAATAATAGCTTTAATGTTTGCAAAGCTTTTTATGTGTGTTATCTCATTGCTTCTCACACATTTATAGATACAAACCCTTGAGGTCATGGGTTTCATTGTGGTCCCTCTTCTTCTAAGTTATCTTCTATGAATGACTGGTCTTCACTGATATTCTTCTTCCTCTACTGTAACTATAAATCTGGGTGGCATCTGAGTTGGTGGATATATACTGGCACCGTTCTTCTTTCTCTTCCCCTCTTGGCTAAAGACATAAATAACACGGTAATCAATTTTTTAGATAACATGACATGATCATGTTGGGTAACAGAGACAGAATCCAAAAACATCTCATAGGCTAAAAATGTGGGCTGAATCTAATAAGATGAAATTTATAAGGATCAGTGTAACATTCTGTATTTGGTTTCAGATTCTCAACTGCAGAAGTATATAGGATATTGGAAGTAAAAAATAGATCTTAGTAGACAGCAAGCTCAATGAAAAAGCAACATGAAGGAAAAACAAAACAAAAAAATGCAAACAGATTCAGTCTTAGGCTACACTAATAGAGGAATAGTTTCCAGAATGACTCATTATCAAATCATATCTAGAGCATTGTGTCAAAAATTAGAAGCCTCTTTCAGGTAGGAATCTGATAAACTGAATTATCTGGAGGATATTGACTAAGTTAGGGAAGGGGATGCTGAATATGTCTCGGGAAGATTGGCTGAAGAGATTGGATATGCAAAACACAAAGAAAATTCAAGGGCAATGTGCTAGCTGCCTTCTAGAATTTCCTAGATTGATGATAACATTTAGAGCTGGAAGAATACTGTTAAGAGGAATAAGGATTTGACTTGTTCTGTTTGGTTCAAGAGGCCCCAAGTACAGTGGATAAAATAGGTGGAAATCCCTGTTGAAGAAAACAATTGACCCTTGCATTTTAGCCAAATCAGTTATTACATTTTTATCAATGTATCAACATACTGTTGGGAAGGAAGTTAAATAGCAGAATGGATAGAGTGCCAGCCCTGGAGGCAGGAGGACCTGTGCTCAAATCCTGTCTCAGACATTAGCTGTGTTACCCTGGGCAAGTCTTTTAACCCTGTTTTTCTCAGTTTCTTCATCTATAAAATGAACTGGAGAAGGAAGTGGTAAACTACGTCAATATCTTTGCCAAGTCACAAAGAGTAGGATACAACTAATCAACAGCAATTCTACTTAGAAAGAGAAATAGATATCAGAAAATTGTTAGAGTTCTTGCTAATCAGTCAATAAAATCCTTCCTTTCAGGCAATTTCCAACTCACATTTTATGTTAATCTTGAAAGAAAAGATGAAGAAATTCCTCAGATTTTACAAAAAGTAAAAATACATAAGTAAATTTCGATCTGAAAGTAATATTTTCCTTTGTTTCGTCTTTTTTTCCTGAATTTTTGTTCCTCCAAAATATTTTTTTATTAGTTTATCTAGCACTACAAAGTATTCCTTCAGTCAATCCAATTGGCGTAGCACTGATTCTATAAAGTATCATCATATTTATTACGTTGGCATGACCCCATCAAAACGTATGGCTTTTTGACTCCAAGTTCACTGCTCTCTTTACTACTCCATAATTCTCTGTAGAAGTGAACTTGAAAAGAATGGGAAGCCTTTCCCTCTCCTGCTGCTCAAAGAGTGGGCTGCCACCATGAATGATACTGTAACAATCAGAACCAGGAAGTTCATGACAGATTTCTTCAGTGTAAACAGATGGTTATAGATGTCCTTCATCCTGGAAAGGCCATAGTGCCCCAGACTGAAATTTGAGAAAAACTGGACAATGTGTACAAGACAACTCTAGACGCCATTTTTGTCTTTGGATTCAGAACCCATTTTGGTGGTAGCAAAGCAACAGGCTCTGGCATGATTTATGATTCCCTTGATGATGCAAAGAAAAATTAACCAAAGCATAGACTTGCAAGGCATGGCCTATATGAGAAGAAAAAGACATCAAGAAAACAGTGAAAGGAATGTTAAGAACAGAATGAAGAAAGTCAGGGGTACTGCAAAGGCAAATGTCGGTGCTGGCAAAAAGACAGAATAAAAAGCACTGTGGGTGATGTTTATCTGTGAAGATAATTTTTCATCAGAGCACAAATAAAATATGTAAAAACTAGAAAAAAAGAGAGAAAAGAATGGGGAAAGATAGAATAGTCAAATCATCTTAGCCCACTTTGGGACTGGCTTAGAGGTTGTATTGTCTTTCCCGGAAACAAGGGAGGAAATCAAGAAAGCCATTTCCCAAGGAGATTAGAATTCAAGACACTTACTTGGTTTTGCTTTTTTTTGTTGTTGTTGTTTTTGCAGGTTGCTGACAAGAATATCTTAGAATCAGGAGTGAGTATTACTTTCTCTGACATCACTAAACTTTTGACTCCAAAAGCAAACATCATGTTGAAGAGCAGCAAATCTTTCATAGCTGTCTTGCTTCTACTGATACAACCAATTAGTTGCATTTATTTAGCATTATTATTTAGAAAATTGGGTCAAAATAAAGTTGGGCTCTTCTGGATAGCCACAGCTGAGTATTTGGAAAACTGCCCTGGAGAGACTTCACTTTCCCAGGATAACACAGTAAATCAAAGACTTAAATTGATGCTAGACCTCCATTACTATGCTTGGACTAACTGAACTCTTATCTACTCCTTTTTATGGTTTTGTGGTTACTGGGTAAGTATATATTGAGTTCTCTGTTGTGTGATGAGTGGGTTGTTCATAACTGTTAAGATGGTATTGACATACAATAGCCTTTCTAAAACTCCTGACTTCACTGTAGAGAACCTCTCCATTGTTTTAAGAACGAAAAAAAAAATTTACTTATTACAGCCTTCGAGTTGCCTAAAAAGTTAATCAGTCAATCCAGGGTCATACAACCAGTAGGCAAACAGAGGCAAGGCTTAAACCCAGATCTTCCTGACTCCAATTCTGATGTACTATTCCATCCTTTCGCTTTCCATTTACACTTAGAAAAATGAAAGATAACTTTGGATTGAAGCATATAGTATCTTCATCTGCTTTAGTACAATCCAAGAATGTAATAGCAAGTAAGAAATGACACCTCATGTTCTCCTAGCTGGTAAGCAACTCACTAGAAGTTACTTAGGCATTTTCAAAATGTGCATTAACTCAAATTAACCACCAGGGTTGATTTAGAGAACTGAAAATTCTAGGTACCTTCATGCAAGAAGAAAATCAAGTCCAAAATCAATATTGTGTTCATCTAAGAGGGAGACTCGTTATTGAAGCTCTAAACTGCCATTATTGTAAGGCCTTCTAAACTTGGCTTAGGTCCTATGAGCTAATAATTAATAATACTTATAGGAGACTTCCATGAACTAAGTTCCTTCAGTAAAACCTTAAGTGAGAAGTTAATTATAAAAATATTTATTCTATTTGGTACTTAATTGAAAAATACAAATTAAAATTAATTTTTAAAGAAGTTAATTGCTCCTTTATCTTACCTTTGAATCTTCTAGAGGTCATCTTTATGTTTACTAACTGCTCATAAGGGAATTTTATATCCAATCTTGGTCTCTGGTACACTCAATGGGATGCTGATAAATATTTAACAGCTGGCTCCCTGGAGGTAGGGGAGGGAATTTATACACATGACACACTTTTCACTTTTAAATTAGTCTGAATAAATTAGAGAGAGAGAGAGATGATAATGGAAGGTTAAAATGATCATTTTCATAATCTTAAGTTTAAAAGCTTTTGCACAAACAAAATCAATGCAGCCCAAATTAGAAGGAAAACAGGAATGGGGGGGGAGATTCACAGCAAGTTTCTCTGATAGAGGTCTCATTTCTCAAATATATGGGGAACTGATCCAAATTTATAAAAATAAGAGGCATTCCCAAATTGAGAAATGGTCAAAGGATATAAACAAGCAGTTTTTAAAAATTTAATTTTTTTGTTACATTTTAAGTTCCAAACTGCCTACTTCCCTCCCTCCTCACCTCATACTAAAGAAAACCTCCATTTCACACACACACACACACACACACACACACACACACACACACGTGTGTACAATATGTAAAACCATGCTATGAGTACTTACATTTATCAGTTCTTTCTCTGGAAGTGAATGTCATCTTTTTTCATAGATCCCTTGTAATTGATTTGAGTATTTACAATATTCAGAAGGGCTTAGTTCCTCACAATTATTGTTCAAACAATATTGCTGTTACTATATACAATATTCTCTTGGTTCTGCTCAATTGACTCTTCATTATTTCATGTGAATCTTTCCATGTTTCTAAAAATCAATCTGCTCATCATTTCTTATAGCATAGCAGTATTCCATCATAATTATATATCACAACTTATTTAACCATTACCCAATTGAGGGGGATCCCCTCAATTTCCAGTTCTTTGCCAACACAAAGAGAGCTGCTATAAATATGTTAGAACATATAGGTTCTCTTTCTTTTTCCTTGATCACCTTGGGAAACAGACTTAATAGTAGTAATGCTGGACCAAAGGGTATATGTAGTTTTACAACTCTTTAGGCATAGGTCCAAATTGTTCTCCAGAATGGTTGACCTAGCTCACAACTCCATCAGTGCAGTAGGGTCTCAATTTTTTGACATCCTCTCCAACATTTGTCATTTCCCCCTTCTATCATTTTAGCCAATATGATAGGTGTGAAATGATATCTCAAAGTTGTTTTAATTTTCATTTCTCTAATCAATAGTTGAATTTCTAGGACTTTCCAAGTATATCATTATATCATTTTAGATTTAGAGCTTTTTTTATACGAGCATATGTAGCTTTGATTTCTTCATCAAAAAATTGCATGTTTATGTCTTTTGACCATTTATCAATTGAGAATGACCAATATCCTTATAAATTTGACAAAGTTCTCTACATATTTGAAATATGAGGCCTTAACTGAGAATTGTCAATAAAATTGTTCCCAGTTTCCTGTTTTCCTTCTAATCTTGGCTATCTTGGTTTTATTTACAAATCTTTTTTGATTTAATATAATCAAAATTATTGATTTTGCATCTCACAATGCTCTCTATCTCTTATTTGTAAATTCTTCCCCTATCCATAGGTCTGATAGGTAATATGTTCCATGTTCTTCTAACTTACTTATGATATCTCCCTTTATAGCTAGATCATGTATCCATCTTGACCTTATCATTGTAAATGGTGTAAGGTATTGGTCTATACCCAATTTCTGCCAGACTGCTCTTTGGTTTTCCCAACAATTTTTACCACATCATGAATTACTATCCCCAAAGCTTAAATCTTTACATTTGTCTCAAATACAAGGTTACTATAATCATTTGCTATGGTGTATTGTATGTCTATTCTGTTCTACTGAGTCATCTTTCTATTTCTTAGCCAGTACCAGATAGTTTTGATAATTACCATCTTATAATATACTTTAAAATCTGGTACTGCTAAACCTCTTTCCTTTACATTTTTTTCATTAATTCCTTTCGATATTATTGACCTTTTCTTCTTCCAAATGAATCTTGTTCTTATTTTTTCTAGCTCAATAAAATATTTTCTTGATAATTTAATTTGAGATGACATTGAATAAGTAGATTAGATAGAATTGTTATTTTTATTATATTGGCTCTGCCTACCCATGAACAATTAATATTTTTCCACTTATTTAAATGTGACTATAAAAAGTACTTTATAATTGAAGTGAAATAAAGTGAAGTGACTTGCCTAAAGTCAAACATAAGTAGTAAGTAGGATCAGAATTTGAATTCAGAACTTCTGACTCCAAACACAGTGCATTTTCCATTGCACCATATTTCAAAATCGTGTCATTCTTCTAAGCACTAACTTCTTGAATGCAACCTAACCACATTCTTCTTGTGCAATAGGCTTGTTTATTTGTAAATATACCTCCCTTTGATATAATCTTTGGATTAAACCACTGATTGGTTCATTATTTTTCCTTCTTTATTTTGTTCATATTTCTCCCACCCTCAAAGAAATGGGAACTCTACTTGTGACTGCTTCTGTTCTTTTACAATGGAAGTTCATGAAATTCCTGGATTTGTTTTAGCAGGTATATTCCTAGGCATTTTATGCTGCCTAGAGTTCTTTTAAATGAAATAGCTTTTATTATCTTTCTTACAAGGTTTTGTTGGTGATGTATAGGAATGCTGATCATTTATGAAGGTTTATTTTATATATCTCCTGCTACTTTGCTGAAATTATTGTTTCAGTTAAATTTCTAGGACTTTCCAAGTATATCATTATATTGTTTGCAAAAAAGAGATAGTTTTATTACTTCATTGCCCATTCTGATTCCTTCAATTTCTTTTTCTTCTCTCCTTGCTATTATTAACATTTCTAGTACAGTATTGAATAATATTGGTGATAATGGACATCCTTGTTCTACTCCTGATCTTATTGGGAAGACTTCTAGCTTATCCCCATTATAAACAAGGCTTGCTGATGTAGTTTTAGATAGATGCTTCTGAAGAGGCATTTTTCAGAAGAGATCAAAGCTATTAATAGTCACATAAAAATGCTCTAAATTACTATTTACTAGAAAAATTAAAATTCAAACATCTCTGAAGTACCATCTCATACCTATCAGACTAGCTAACATGAAAGAAAAGGAAAATAACAAATCCTGGGAGAGAGTGTGGAAAAATAGGTACACTAATGCTCTGTTGGTGGAGCTTTAAACCGGTCCAACTATTCTGGAGAATAACTTGGAACTATGCCCAAAGGGCTATAAAACTATGCGTACCCATTGACCCAAAAAAGGAAATTGACGTGATGCCCATCGATTGAGGAATGGCTAAACAAGCTGCCATATATGATTGTGATGGAATACTATTGTGCTATAAGAAATTATGAAGTACATTCTTGCAGAAAACCAGTGACGACTTACATGAGCTGATACAAAACTAAATGAGCAGAACCAGGAGAACATTGTACATAGTAACAACAATATTGTGAAGATAATCAACTGTGGGAAACTTGGCTACTCTGATCAATACAATGATTCACGACAATTCCAAAAGACTCATGATGGAAAATGCTATCCACCACCAGAGAGAGAACTGATGAACTCTGAGGGCAGATTAAAGCACATTTTTTCACTTTATTTTTCTTGCCTTTTATTTATTTGTTTGTTTTCTGCAACATGAGCATGACTTCATATGTATCATGGGTATCTTATTTCTTGCCTTCTCAATGGATGGGAGAGGGACTGGAAGAAAGGAGAGAATTTGGAAATGGAAAATAAAAATAAATTTAATTTGCTTTTTCAACATTTTATGCATCACCTTTTTAAGTCTAGGCAGGCAACAAAGCAAAGAATCAGGTCTTGACTTGTATAATTTGCTGATTTCTGAAATGTAAATGCTCACACTGAAACTTTAGCAATTGACTCTCAGCAAACAAATTAGAGCTGGCTCCAGCATACTCCTCCTTCTAGAATCACAGGGCTCTTTATATATCTACTTCTAGCATTGAGAACACACATGTATTGTTGTCAGTGAGTATGTGTACAGATATTTTAAAAATTATTTTGTTTTCAAGGGCCCTGTTACTACAAAAGAAACGAATTTTGACTTCAAAATTACTGATGGAAAATATACTGTGAAAATAAGAACAAGAAAGCTGTTTGAAAATGCACCTTGGAGTGAATGGAGTGAGCCTCAAGAATTTGGTAAGTGTGCTACTCTTTAATTCTAATACACATGTTGGGGAAGGGAAATTAGATTGGAATATCTCCCAGAGATCTGGCTGTGGCCACTTTGGCTCCATGGGGAAGGACATATGAAGCAGGTGTCACTTCACTATGCAGCTAAAGTTCTCAAGCTCAGCTCCATGGAATCTTTGAAGAAGATCACATCTGTAATTCATCATCTTAAGAGATTTCTCTGAGGTTCAGAGAGATTGACTTGCCTTTGATCACAGAGGTAATAAGTGTAGAAAGTGGGATTTGAACCTAGGTATTCCTGACTCCAAGGCCAGCACTTTATCCATAAGCCCTGATGCTTTTCCAGCATTGTATGAGGCTTTAGATGTAGTTTTAGATAGATGCTTCTGAAGAGGCATTCAAAGGTTTAGAGCTGAAAGGAACTTTAGAAAGGACTCTACGTGTAGGGTAAGCAAGAAAACTACTAATTAGGCATTGGATGTTGCTTAGTTTGGAAAACACAAATACAATTCCTAGTGTTCTATGCTTAAAAAATAAAATAAAACAAAAACTACCAAGATGAAAACCCCAGATGGAAGGAAAGAAAAAGTTCTGAAAATAGATTTTTTTCTAAAATGATAATACATCTGCGAGGTTTTTAGAAAGAGGTGACCCAGAGTGGAAGCCCTCTCTAGTATAAGCACCTCATTTTTATAGTTGACAAAACAAGGACTAGAAGTGAAGTGACTTGCCTAAAGTCAAACATAAGTAGTAAATAGGATCAGAATTTGAACTCAGGGCTTCTGATTCCAAATATGGTTTGTTTCAAAATTATGTGCCATTCTTCTAAGCACTAAGTGTTTGAATGTATCTTAACCACATTCTTCTTGTGCAACAGGCTTTTTTTTCTTATAAATATACCTCCCTTTGTATAATCTTTGGATTAAGCCACGGGTCATTTCATTGTTTTTCCTTCTTTATTTTGTTCTTATTTCTCCCACTCACAAAGAACTGGGAACTCTACTTGTGACTGCTTCTGTTCCTTTATAATGGGGGCCCAGTGCATGCACAGAGTGCCTCAGCAGCTCTCTATGGAAGATGCTAGGGAAGAACCAGCATTTCTTTTCAAGGAGGAAACTAGGGAAGAGATGGTGTTTCTTCACATGAAGGACCTTAGAGAGCTGCTTCCAGGAAAATGATGATGATGGGTAATAGAAGTGTCTTTGAGAGATAGACTGTGGAGCATGCATAGACATCCTATAACTGATTCAGGTCAGCTAACCACGCTGATTGGCTGCAGTGGTATTCAAAAAGACCCATCAGCTTCAGCTATGAGAAAGTCCTAGACATAAGGAGTCTCTTAAGGTAGTCTAAGATCTTTTAGCTTTTTTTTTCTTTTTTTTTTCTGCCATATCACATTGTTACCTCATATGTTAATGAATCTATTATTCCATGATACAGATATTCCCTCCAAAGCATGGATCATTAGTCATCTACCTGTCCCATCCATCCTATTTAGCTCTTATCCATATCTTCTCAAGAATTAATCTAACAGGCTTTACCCAATGTGTGGGGGGCCTTCTTGCTTTCTCTTGACACCTAGTGGAGCCTAGTGGTTTATTCAACAGTTAGTTCTTGCTCTTGCCACATTGACCACTCCATCTTCTTTTTTGATTATACATTTTTTCGTAACATCCTTTACTCTGGTTCTCCATTATAGTCTCTATGCATTATGAATTACAGCCTACTCACACCCACCATTCACCTCTTCACTGCCCTCTAGGTATTACTCAGTTTCAATTATTTAGTGACTAGTATTCCATTGCACCCAGCCAACCCACCGGACCACTAGAATATTGGTATTGAAAAGATGTGCTTAAAAAAAAAAGATGGGCTTAATTTCTAAGGAAAGTTTGGGGTCATTAAATGAGTTTTATAGCTTCCCGTAAGTAATTCAATCTGCTCCTGACCTGATTTCTCAGTAATCAAGTGCTCAGGATAAGTATTTGCCAAAAGACTACCAATAAGAACATTACAGCTTATGCACCAACACACTGTGTGTGTGTGGAGGAGAGTAGGTGAGTGTGAGTAATCTTTCATCCTTTTAGCCAGACAATGAAGAAAGGTCCCAGCTTCCTACAGGATGGTCTTACCATTTCAATAGAAGTTCTCCTAGGAGACTCTATGGCAAGGCATTTCACCTCAATATGTGTCAGTTTCTTCATCTGTAGAATGAGGAGAGCTGAACCTACAAAATTCAAAGATAGCTTTATATAATATTATTATTTATGTTTTTCAAAAAGCTAGGACAATTTACTTTTTATCCTGTACAGTTTTCATCTATGATTTCTTGAAATATATCTCTGAAAAAAAAATCAGGCTTTAAAAAAAAAAAGCTCATTGTAGGGGCAGCTAGGTGTAGTGGATAGATCACTGGCCCTGGAATCAGGAGAACCTGAGTTCAAATCCAGCCTCAGATACCTACTAGCTGTGTGATCCTGGGCAAGTCACTTAACCCTGATTGCCTTAAAAAAAAAAAGAAGAAAAAAAGCCCATTGTGTTTCCAATAGAGCTACTTGACTAGCCTTTAAATCCAACTCATTCTGGCTTTCACTGAAAGGCCCCCAAGCCCATGCCTCAGTGGCTCATTATTTAGCTTTCGTTGATTTAGGATGAATGTAAACAGTAGTTGTTTCCTGTTCTAGAAACTTTGAGGGTCTACCCTCCCAGATTGGTATTTTTGTGATGGTAAATTAGGCCACCTTTTGTCTCAATTCATTGAATGGGAGTTGCTTCAGACTAAGGAGACCTGGGAAAGAAGCTAATTTTTTTTTAAGGCAATTGGGGTTAAGTGACTTGCCCAGGGTCACACAGCTACTAAGCATCAAGTGTTTGTTCTGATGCCGGATTTGAACTCAGGTCCTCCTGACTTCTATCCACTCTATCCACTGCGCCACCTAGCTGCCGCAAAAGATGTTAATTTACAAAGGCCAAGCTCACTCCTGTATACAGGGCCATCCACAGTCATCTGGACTTTTGTTTTGCCACTGGACTTCCTGGATTCTGGATGAGAAAGTGAGGCTGAGCACTTTGTGCTGCTCTACCTCACTTAAATCCGATTCATGAGCAAGTCAAGACACTACCTTCATGATGTTGTTGGTCCTTTTCAAGAACAAATGATGAAGAACAGCAGCTCTCACTCTCAGTGACTTCATCAGCTTTTGATGGGTTCAACTATCATATCTATAAAAATGACTCCCAACTCGACATATGTAGACCTATCTCTCCTGAGCTACATCTCCACATCTCCAACTGCCTGCTCGATATGTCTTCCTGATATGTGACAGAAATCTCAAAATCAGAATATTTAAAAGAGAATTCATTATCTTCTCTTCAAATCCCACCCCTCTGCCTACCTTCCCTATCTCTGTCCAGGGCAACATCATGCTTCCATCCACCTAGGTCCCCTTGCCTCTGTCCTCTGCTCTCTACTCATATCACAACTAGTTTAGTTCAGGCCCCCACCAAATCTCACCTGAAGTATATTACAGTAGCCTTCAAATTGGTCTCTTTGCCACTAATTTCTCCTCTCTCCAGTTCATCTTCTGTATAACTACCAGTCAAATTTCCCAAAGCTCAGATCGGACCAGGCCAAGCTTCACTGACTCTACCTTGCAAGTGGCATAAAATACAAACCTTCTGGCACTTCAAACCCTTCATCATCTAGTCCCATCTTGTCTTTCCACTTACTTCACATTACTCACCATCACACACTCCATGGTCTAAGTCAATGGGTCTACTTGCTGGTCAGCTGGCTTTTGCATAGGATGTCCCTCTCCTTGCCTGGAATGATTTCCCTTCTCATTCTTAGCAACCCTGGATATGTTTGAACCATAGCTCAATTCCTACCTCCTAATCAAGGCTTTTCCTTGTCCTCCCATTTGTTGGTATTCTTTGGCCACCCCTAACCTGAATTATTTTGTATTTATTTGTGTGAATGTTTATTGCATTTCCCTAGCAAGTTATAAGTTCATTGAGGGAAGAAATTGTTTTCATTTCCTTTGTAGTCCTTAGTACATGTTGGGTAGAGAGGGATGGTGGATAAAATGGACCCAGAACCAGGAAGACATGGATTCAAGTCCCACCTTGACACATACGGGTTGTGGATAGGCAAGGATTAACCACTTAGCACTCTAGACAACTCTTTAAGGGTCTGAATTGTAGAGAAGGTACTGATCTGTGTTGTCAGGAATTTCCTCATCTAGAGAATTCCCTATGCCAATGAAATCATCAGTCCAGGATCAATCCCAATCCCCATTGCCTAATATTGTACCTGACACATATTTAGCATTTAATGTCTATTGAATTGAACTTGTCATCCCTGATAACAAATGACCAAAGAGTTACAGCAGCTCTACAATTGCTGTTAACTCAAAAAAAAAAGAGAGGTCACATAGATTATCAAAATCATAGTTAACTCTCTCTATATAAAATGAAGTAAAATAAAATAAAATAAAAGAGCTAACAGTAGTTATAAGCAAAAGGCTTTCTTTATTCCATTGAAGGAGGGAAATTAGACACGTGTGCCAGGGCCCCCTCTAGTAGGAGAACCACTTTAGTGTGGGAAAATCTCAATACTTAAACCAGTGGCTATGCAGTGAGCTATAGCCCTGACAATGAGAGGTAACAGTAACAATGCGACAAGTTTGATTTATAGCAGGATTTCATGACTGGAACGTGGGTACTACAGGTGTTTAACCAAGCTCTGAGACCACCTGGTGCTGGTGTGAAACAATTCTAGAATTTTGTTGTGGCTGAGTTCATCCAGAGGGTGAGTGCTTATGCCAAGCTCAGGGCATAGTTTGCTTATTGGACCTTAGCTCTGGAAAACAGGGTGTTTAATAATAGAAAAAAGAGAGGAGTAGAAAGAGAGGGATAGTTTTGGCATAGGGATCCTGACAAACTGAATTGACATGGCAAGGCAAAGTTGTATTCATGGGGGTTTATTAACAAAAATGTGATTGTGGTAAAGGTTTTAAACTTATGTGTAGGTTTTTGGACAGGTCTAGCTATGGAGAAGAAGATAATTTCTTTCTCTGCTTTCCCCGATGTAGTCCATCAATTTCACAGGTAGATCATTTATAGAAACACTTATATAGACCATTTTAAAGATGGGCACACATTTGATAAAAAATGGACTACTAAGCAGAATTAGAAAGACAATGATAAGCACCAGCCCTGGAGTGAGGAGGACCTGAGTTCAAATCCTGCCTCAGACACATGATACTCACTAGCTGTGTGACCCTGGGCAAGTCACTTAACCCCGATTGCCGGAAAGACAGAGAGAGAAGAGAGAGAGAGAGAGAGAGAGAGAGAGAGAGAGAGAGAAGAAAGAAGAAAGAAAGAAAGAAAGAAAGAAAGAAAGAAAGAAAGAAAGAAAGAAAGAAAGAAAGAAAGAAGACAGTGATTTATTTTTAGTAAATAGATGTAAGCTACTTCAGTAAACCCCTATGCTCTTTGAGGTCAGGGCTTGTTTTAGTCTTTATATTCCCAGCACCTAAACCAGGGCCTTGCACATAGTAAATGCTTAATAAATATTTGTTGAATTAAACTGAATTCTCTCTACATTGGCTCATAAAACCTGAAAAGGCAAAAAAAAAAAAAGAAAATGGATAAGAATATTTACAAAGGCAGGGTCCAAAAAGCAAATTAATGGAGCACAGATAAAACTCACAAGTGCTAGGAGAAGATAAAGAAAACTGATAACCATACAATATGTGATTCTTTCATCTATTAATTCCTTCAACAAGCATTTATTGAGGACTCACTATTTATGAAACACTGTGCTAAGTTATGGGAGAAGTGTAAAATTTAGGTAAGATGCGATCCCTGTTGTCACGTAGCTTAGAAAAGGACACAAATAATGATAACTACAAGGTAGAACAGAATGTCAAAAGTGCATTAGAGAGATAGAAAAACAAAGTTCGCATGATATTTTAAGGAGAAAGGTTGTATTGACAGAGGATCAGAGAAAGTTTAATGGAGAAGATGGGATTTGATTTGGGTAGAAATGCAACATTTGAAAAGAGGGAAGAAAGACATTCCAAACATAGGGAACTACATAAACAAAGACCTCAAGCTAGGAGGGCATGGTGACTATTAGTGTCTTTTCAGAGAATTCTAAGCAATATTGTGTTCTGAAGGTGTGACATTCATACTGATCATGTCAGCTTACACATTTGTGATTGGTACAGTGATATAATTGATATTAGTATTTAAGCATTCAACCATGCAAAATTTCTCTCAAAGGAACTAGTCTAATTTGTAAAATAAACACACTCAGAAACTGACTATCCAATTACAGTCAAATACAAATGAAGGAAAGCGCTATTTTTTTTCCCCTAAGATGCAGAATCCCAGGTGGAGAATTCCTCCAATGTATCTCTGAAAATGTGTAAGGGACCAAAATATATCTCAGACAAACCTCCTCTGGTCTACTCTTTGCAGATTGGCTGTCTAAGCTCAAGGCAGTTAATGGTCCTCTAAGTCATGGACCTATAGTGTCAAAGGTTGTAAATCCAGGTCCTCTGATTCCAAACACAGCACACTTTCCACTGTACCTTCCTGACTCCCCCAAAGTAATCTGGTTTTACTGGGGCATAGAAGTGTTGATATGAATTAGTGTCATACCAGTTTGTGGAGGGCCTTGAATGTCACATACAGTAGTTGGAACTTTACCTAAGGGACACTACAGAGCCTGTGAAGATTTTGAGTATGTGAGTGATATGAAAAGATCTATGCTTTGTATATCTGAGGCTGGAACAGCAAAAGAAAATTAATCAGCCTTTTAACTTGGGTCTGCATCATTCTGAAATATACTCAGTAGAACATTTGCCATCTATGTGATCCTACAAATAGTTTTTGTTCATGACTTGACAGGTTTATTTGACTTCTTTTTAGATTCATATATTTCTTGTGTGTAGGGGGTTTTTTTATGTTTAATATTAGGGAGGAGAGCCATGTTAATATTTGGGGAGTAAGCTGCTTTCTTTTGAAGTGGCCAACATGGGGCAGGGGAATTTTCATGAATATTTTATATGTTTGGCACAGTGCTTTGGACATAATATGATTTCAAAAAGCTAAGTTCAGCTTCCAAGTTCAAGCAAAGAAAACAGTCCACCTACTGGTCTTTTGTGGTGGGGGAAGTGAGAGGGAGAAAGAATAATTGATTACAGGCACAGGGGTGATTAATGCGGGTACATTCATGACTGCAGTAGAAACAGATGTACTATAGTCAAGCTTCTGTATCTGTGTAATATATAGTCTGAACATGTGCCCCTTTATGATTGTTAGTGACAGAAGTGTTCCTTAAAACAAAGTTTTAACCCAGTCCCTTTACTCTAGAGGAAAGAAGTGTTTTGCATTCTATTACTTGTGAAGTCATCTCCTATTCACTCACATTATTTTTGCTATACTCATTTAACTTTTATTTACATAGTTTAGGCTACTACTATAGAGTCATATATCAAACACAGCAGTAAAAGAATAACAAAAAAGTATTTAACTTTTTTCTAGGTTTTTTTAAACTTTTGTGATTTTTAAAAAAATATTTACTTAACAGGTATGTGTTCAAAAAATAATTAATAGGGAAATAAAGTTATCTTTCCATGGGGATTTAGGAGTATGGCACCCCCATGATCTGAAAGATCTGAATAAAAAAATTTTGGCCTTCCCTTCATACCAGAGAAGTTCGAATTTTTTCTTTTTCTTTTATGGGGTGTTGATGTTATATAGTACTGTACATATATTTTATACATTTCTGAGTTACTAAACTTTTTCTGTGTCAACTGCTGGCCTTCACATGTCACCTGCGGCTTCTGCAAAACTCCCCAAAAAATTCCTATTTAATTTCTTATGCTGACTCAAGATATATCGAAACTAAGATGGAGAAAGTTGAGATGTGGAAGGTTTAATTATAATTCGAGACGCTGGTTAGCTTTGTTGAAAGTCCTTTGAAAAGGGTAGCCATGAAGACTGTCATTGGGAGTAGTTAGGACTCTCTCAGAGCCAAAAAAAAAAAAAGGGAAGCAATGGGGAAAAAAAGTTTTAAGATGAAAGTAAATTAGTTGTCTATGGAGTAGGCATTCCAGAAAAAATAGTGGAAAGGATGGGTAGCCTTAGAGCAGAGGAAGGGGTTGGGTGGATGAGAATAGAAATAAAGGACTGAGTGGTGGCAAATGGAGAATGGATTTTGAATGATGACAGCCAAGGGATTCAGAATCACTGGGATGAGGATAATATGATCTGTTGGGAGTCTGTTAATCATTGAGGAATGAGTGTGGGTTAGCGTAGATGGACCTCCTAACTCTGAGATTGTTGTGAAACATGGTGTAGTAGAAAGAGAGGTGCATTGGGACCTAAGAGATCTGGGTTCAAATCTTAGCTCTGTCACTTGCTAGCTGACTTTGACTAAGTGTCTGATTATTAATTTCTTCATGTAAAAAAATAAGGGCTTGGATTAGATTTCCAAAGTCCCAAAAGTTAACGATTGTAAGCTTCTCCATCCCATGAAAACTAACAAAGGATTTGTCACTAGCAAGGTCAGATGGCATCTGCAAAACCAGGCAGGCAATTTCCACAACACAAAACCACCAGACATTTTGCAGGAGTCATAGCTTTGATGCTCCCTGCCCAAGCCAGAAAACTAAACAAACTGCAAGGTACTTTACAGGAAACAAAAGAAGTTTGAGATTGGCATCTGTGATAATCTAATATTCTTATTCTATCAGGTCATGAAGTCCACAGAGATATTCCTCTGTCAGTATTAATGTTCTCACTTCTTGGAATAGCCTTCATTATCCTGCTCATTTTGGGATATCTCTGTAAAAGGTAAAATAAGTCACTGTTGTATTGCTCTTATAGATTTAATGTTATCATTAGCAATAGTATTTATTTTATATATACTTATTTGTGTACATGTTTTCTCCTCTGATGGAATATAGTTCTTTGAGGGCAGAGACTGATTCATTTTCACCATTGTATTGCTAATACCTAGCACAGTGCCTAGCACACAGAAGGCAATTAATAATGCTTGTTGAGTAAGTGGTTGAAAAATAGCAGCTATGTAACAAATCATTTTATAGGTATAATCCAGGGTCCCCTCAGAGGTGGACACCCTGAAAGTTAAAACCAAGTTTAAGACACATTTTGGCCAGTATCTACCTAAAACTATTATCTTATTTTACCTACTCATTATTTCAAAGTAAAATACAATTAAACATCATATCAGAATAAATGACAAGGAAATCCCCCCCCCAAATAGGGGCACATTCTCCCACAGATTGCCCCATCAAAGCAGGAAAGGATACTAGGTACACATACTTGCTGTAATCCATGGCTACTCCCAACATTACTGCGGCAAGTTCCTTCAAAGAGACTGATCCAGTGACTTCATCAAATTTCCTGTTGTCTTGCTGAGCTTCTGTCTTCAGTGCCCAGCCAACTGCTGGTCCTCCATGGTCAAGGGTGCTTTCAGCTGCCACCTATTGGACTTCTGCTGAATTGCCTCAGTTTTTTGTGGTCCCATGATGAGGGCTTTGGTTTTAACACATTACCTCAGGGCTATCACTCTTTCCTGCCTTAAAGTCCCAAAGCCACAGCCAACCCACCAGCAGAAGCCCTTAGGCTTCCATTAAACCTATCTTTTGAACTGCTTTGATTCTATCTGAACTGTCATTCTGTGAGTTCAGTCCTTTATTTGAGAGAGAGCGAGAGCAATTCTTTCTATACTTTTCATTCCCATAGTTCATGCAAATCACCACCTTAAGAGCTTTAATTAGCAAGCCTGGAGAGGCACAGCAGAACCAACAATTGTTTCTCCTACTTTACTTTCAGTAACAAAATTCCTTCTCTCTCTATTCTAGATAGAAACATGTAAATATTTGTAAATCTTATCTTTTTGTTAGCCTACCTGCCTTTAAAAAAAAAACAAAAACAAAAACCTGCACAACTAAAGCATATTATTTTTTCACTGAAGAGTTAAAACATTTCCTTTCAGTTCTTATTGTCACAGGGAATAAGGCAAAAAGCATTTATTAAAATTTTACTGTGTGCCAGGGGGCACTGTGCTAAGTACTGAGGATACAAATATAAGCAAATAGAAAAACAAAGACAAGGCCTGTTCTCAAGAAGGGCAAAGAGGTTAGAAGGGAGTAACTGAGGAAAAGTCTGGAGAGTCAGAAGCACAGCTTAGAGGGGAATAAAACAAAGATGGCCTGCTTCCCTCCCCAAAATGAAGAATCTGAAAAGAACTCACCAACGAGAGAAGGGAGCTATTGGTACCACAGCTTGGTGTAGTGAAAAGAGCATTAGTTTTGGTGTTGCTGGATCAAATCCCGCCTCATTTGCTATAGTCCTGTGACCTTAGGCAAGTCTTGTAAGCCCTCTGAGGTTCAGTTTCCTACTCTATAAATTAAGACACTAGTTATTTATTTGTTGTCTCTCCCAGTAGAGGGTGAGCTCTTTGAGGGAGGGACTATTTTTGCCTTTCTTAAACCCAAGTTTAACAAGGTACCTGGCATGTAGTAAGCACTTAATGCTTGTTGACTAACTGAAAGGGTTGAACTGGATAGTATCTGAGATTCTTACTAACTCTAAATCTATGATCTTACCATGCTGATGGGATTATAAGTGATGAAATAAATTTCTAAAACAGAAGGTTGATAGAATAGGTTAGTCATGAGCCCCCTGCTTTACAGATAGATTGATGTAGCTTCACATGGCAACTAGGATACATTCCAGAGCCTCCTAGACTAATTCCCACTCCTTAATTGTTAGTCAGCTCCTGGTTCCTTCTCCTAGAGCTCACATAAGTTTTACATACAGGCTGTCCTAAATATCTTAGTTTAGTTTTAAGCTATCAAATCTTAATATCCAAGCAAAGATATAGTAAAAAAATTTCAGTCTACTAAAATCTAACTAAGATGTTTGGGACAGCCCACATAGTTATTTCTATGAATCCATGATATCATTAAAATGGGCTACAGTCGTCTCTACAGATCACAACCTGTCCATGCCTTCTCATCGCCTAACACTCATCTATGTTCTCCTGAAAATCTTTCACAAGAGGTCCACCTGAAGAGGTCTAGGGGTTTTGGGGTGCTGGGACCCCAAGATCATGGTACCAGGCCCCGTCTGAAAGAATTCAACTCAAATCTTCTTCAGCCAGAGGAAAAGTTTATTGGTGGTAAAACATATAGGCTGGGTGACGCCCATAAGGACGAGCGGGCATGAGAGGTTCTCAGTCTTTTGAGCGTGAGATTCTCAGCATCTGAATGAGGGCCAAGGTGGATCTTAAATACTAAAATAACTTTGGGTGGCCAGAGAAGGGGGTTGGGTAAAGGGTGTAGGTAACAATTCTAATTGGGGAGGTCAGCGAGATTGAATAGACAATGGGAATAGATAATGGAGGAACAGGAAGGCAGAAGTTTGAAAGGAATCTGCACAAAATCAAGGTGGGGCTAGGACTTTCAAAAGGAGATAAAGGAAGGCCTTTCTGGGGCCTATAGACAAGAGCCAGATTCTATTCAGGGCAAGGGTTGAAGGTGCATCTGAATAAGATCTAAAGGTAAGCTAGGGCTTTCAAGGGAGGTGAGGGTCTGGGGCCTGTGAGTCAGATTCCCTTTGGGGCAAAGGGTGAAGATCTTGGCTTGGGCCCTGCCCTCATCACACCCAGCATTCTGAGGGGCTTCCTCTACATCTCCTAACATTACTTGTATATTCATGAGACATATCAATTCTTGCTAAGTGACAGGCCACCTCTTTAAACTATCATATATTTCTCTAATCATATCCTTTATACTGCTTCTTCTGTGCAATTTTTCATTGGAAACTCCTCATCCCCAACAGTTAGTCGACTAGTATTGATTGAATACCTACTGTGTGCCACCCCTACACAGTAGGGGTGGGGATACAAAGAAACACAAAAAAATTTCCCCCTTCTCTCAAGGAACTCACCTGGACCCCTCCATTGTCTTGTGGGTGACCCACAACTTAATTCTCCACAGACTAAAGTAATCCTTGATTGACAGCAATATGGCCTCACTGGACCTTCATTTTATAAAAGCACTTGTGGTGGTTAAAAGCACTGTGCTTTTTTGTGTTTCCCAAAAGCAATCCAGTCTATTCTCCTCCATTTGTTTATCTATCTACAGTGCCTATTCAAGACAAGTGGATAGACTAACTCTACATATCAGTCTAGATAATAGGCTTTTTTATTCACTTAATCTACTTCACAAAGATAACAAATGGGGATATCTCCAGATATTCCTTGAATAGATTAGAGCATCTGGTGCAGATACTAAGATCTGAAAGACTGAGGCAGAGAAAGTGGGAGGGGGGGAGAGGGAGAAAGAGAAATCTAGTACAAGTTACTAGCTAATGAGTAGTCCAGGAGGAGGACCAGAACCCAACTATATTGCATGTGTCTTTGATATATATTGTAGAAATAGCAAATTTCAAAGAAAATAGCAATAATAACATGCAAATCTCTTAATTATCAGCCAATATAGACCTTAATGAAACCAAAGAACTACTAATTTTAGAATATTAATTCTAAGTTCAAAATTAACTAATTCTGAAGAACAGAATGATTATATTTTAGTGTCATTCTTAGATAGCTATATTCATGTTCAATTCACATACATTTCTGAATACCCAATATTTTTAACTCTATATGAACTTTCACTTCTGCCCTTTGACAGTATGATGATGCAATCTAATTTTAGGTGCAACTTTTCAGAAAACGTTTTCCAGATGTAGCTTTTATGAATAAAATTATAATTCAGGGTGCAAGTTTATTTTATTATGAAAAAGGATGCATTTTAATTTTTAGCTATTTTTTAATCACAAAAAGTTAAATGGACTACATGCACATTTCATAAAAATACATATTTCTTCGAAAATATTTCTTTTATCTTCATTTTCAAGTAAACAAGAAAAATCAAAATTATAAAAATTTAATATTCCAGCAAAAAACAGTTGCATTTTGGGAGTACTTAATTTTAAATATTGCATTATATCAGGGCTGTAATTTGAGAAGAGCTGCAGTTTGCAAAGCTGCATTTTGCAAGTATTTACTGCAATGTGAACTAGAGCTCTGTGACATGATTTATATGTCTATGACATGTTTTTGTTGTTTTTGTATGTTCTGAAACAACATTTCGTTTTCCTCTTTCATGTAAGACAGGGAAGATCTTTTTTTGTTTTGTTTTGTTTTGTTTTTTGCACATGCAGATTTTTATTCAGTTTATGTTTATGTTTTCCCCCTTCCTTTCTCCTCTTCTCCCATCCCTTTCTCTCCTCTCCTCTGTTTTTCCTTCACTTCTCTTCCTCTTCCCTCTTTTCTACCCTTATTGGGGAAGGGAGTGGTGGCCTGAAGATTTTTTTTCATTGAGCTTGAACCCACTTTCTATAGCTCATTATTTTAGCTTCTCTAGCTGCCAAATTGATTACTGAAATACATGTCTAACTATATTAATCCCCTGCTGAGGAAGCTCCAGTGGCTGCCTATTAACCTTTAGGATCAGACTCAGTCTCCCTTGTTTGGTATTTAAAGGCCTTCACAGACTGGCTCCGAGCTGTTCTTCAGGAACTCAAAGGCATTCTATATTCCAGCCAAACTGGACTATTTTTGATTCCCCAACACAATAGTCCATCTCCTGTTACCATGACTCTAAACAGAATGTTCTCTCAAGCCTACAATGTATTTCTTCCTTACTGCCATCTCATAGAATCTCTAACTTCCTTCAGGCTTTCCTTGAACGCTTATTCTCACGTGAAGCCTATCCTATTTCCCCCAACCTGCTAATACATTTCCTTCCCACTCACCTCACAATTGCTTTTTGTTTACTTTGTGTAAACATTCATTCACATCTTTGTGTTCATGTGTTCCTTGAGGGAAGGGATTACTTCCTTTTTTTTTATCATTGTATCCAATGCCTAGCACAGTGTCTGGAATACGGCAGGCATTTAATAAATGCATGAATTAAAGTGAACTACTTACACACTTGCAAAAGTTGTAGTTCAAATTCTCAAGTCATGCAGAAGGCCAAGGATGAATAACTCTGCTCTGAGCCTTGAGAGTTCCCTCTGCTAAGTCCAAAGTTATTGTTCAGTTATTTTTCAGTTGTGTCCAACTCTTCATGACCCAGTTTGGGGTTTTCTTGACAGAGACACTGGAATGGTTTGTCATTTTCTTCTGCATCTCATTTTACAGATGAGGAAACTAAGGCAAACAGGATTAAATGACTTGGCCAGAGTCACACAACTAATAAGTGTCTGAAGCCAAATATGATCTCAAGAAGATGAGTCTTCATAACTCCAGGCCTGGCACTCTATCCACTGTACCATCTAGTTGCTCTGAGCCTTGCAAGTTCCCTCTACTAACCCAGAGTAGACAATGACATTTGCATTGAGCCCCCCTAGCCCATTAGAAGTAACCTCGATTCCATCCTTTTTTCCTATGTTACTATGAAACTATAGTGAATAAGTGCCAACTATGAGGATTCTAGTTCGCTGACTCCTAAAGAGACAGGCTATGTGATAATCTAATTAAATCCTTTTGTCTGATTTATTATAATATTTACCAAATTAATGTTTGAATTGTGGAGTTCAGTCTGCAGTCATCCAAATCTAATTTTAAAAAATAGCTGAGAAATACATACTTATCAGCACTAATGACACTCATGGGTTCTCTGAAATCAACATGCTATCACTATGCCTTGTCATACATAGGCATACTTCAGTGCCTGCAATGCCCTTTCTCCTCATCTCCTCCTTTCAGAACTCTTATTTTCTTTCAAGGCTTAGCTCAGGCATCACTTCCTACATGCAAAGCTTTTACAGACACCACATCTCTCCCCCTCGACATGTTTTCTTCTCTTCCACCAAAATGACTTTGTATTTACTATGTATAAAATGTTTCCACAACTCAGCCTAAGACTTTGTACACAGGATTTCCTTAATGAATGTTGAAGCCAATGAAATTAAAAGAGGGAAACAGAAACAGATCAAAGGTTTTCACACACACCACACACACACACACACACACACACGCACACACAGAGTTCAACCTATTCCGCACACCTAAATAAGGAAAAGGAACTACTAATAGTTTCTTTTAATTACTTTTAGATGCACTCATGAAAACAATTATGCAATACTTCTGTACCTCACATGGATAACTACCAATTCTGAAAAAATAGGCCCTCAATGAATCCAATTAAGTGACCTACATCAGGAGAAATCAGCAAGAAAATTCTAATCAATAATCAAAAAGTGATGTGATAAGAATCCAAACTTGTCCTTTCATAGTATTGTAAGAAACAATAATTCAGGCTAATGTCTTTCCTGCCATATTTGAAAGATACCTGGTGAGGACAGACTTTTAGCCTTTCCATTAGGAGAATATGTAGACAGTTCTTCAGGAGAGAGATCTATTTAGAGCTCAAACACAAAAGTGTGTAGGTTATCCTTACAGAACTGGCACTGTCTAAGGAGTAAAACTGGCCTCTCTTCTTCACATACCATATGCCATCTCCTCTATGTTCCTATATACCTGAAATTCACATTTAACTAATCCCCACTTCATAGAATTCCTCTCTTCCTACAAGAGGAAGATCAAACCTTTCCTAATCTCTTATACTGCGCAGTAGTGTCCTTCCAAAATACATTATATTTAACTTTCTTGTATTTATTTTTGTTTAGTTGGTATATACTTAAACAATGTGTCCCAAAAGTCTTAATGAAGGCTTAATCTTTGGGGATACATAGTGTATATCCCTCTTCATCTCTCTCTTCATTAGAATATAAATTCATTGCAAAAAGGATTGTTTCATTCTGTCTTTGCACTCCCAGAGCCTAAACAGTGCCTGGCACATACTAGGCAATTAATAAATACTTGTTGATTGACGCACAATAGGGTTTAAAATGAACATATTAATAAATGGGAGGATGGGCAGAACTCTGCTTTGCTACAAGTGACAAAAATAGCTGTGGCTTGAGGACATTGAGGTGGGAAAACAGGTACACTTAAGACTCGAGTTTTTAATCAGATATTGATCCAAGTTCAGTGTCTGTCTCTCCTTTCAATGCATGCTATTTTGTGCTTATTTCATGTGATCGTTATCCAGTTTTACATCTACTTTTCTTTTCCAAGGTATTATGTGATTCAAAAAATATTCCCTCCTGTTCCCCGTATTAAAGACCAAGTTAGTGACAGTTTTCACCAATACAATGAGGTAAGTTGTATTGCTAAAATCTTACAATACTAATTTTAAAGGATGTGAGACGTGTGTGTGACAGAGAGAGAGAGAGACAGACAGACAGACAGACAGAGACAGAGACAGAGAGAGACAGAGAGAGACAGAGAGAAAATGTCATTCTGTCTGCCTGCCTAAGTTCCCCATATTTCCCAAACTCGAGATTACAGGCCCTAGGAGGTGGTGGAGAACAGATGTGTAGAAATTCTGAAAGCTGTTTGGCTATCATTTGACTGTGAAGAAGTCTCTTATTCACCTTCCAAGGCTTTTATCACCACTCTTAACATAATTGTTTTTTTTTTATTTTAAATTGTCTCATCTCATCTCATCATTGTTTACCTCCCTTCCCTATTAGCTTGTGTTTTCCTGGACAAAAACTAGTGCACTAGGAATGTGATCCTGTGCAAGTTACTAAACTTCATTGGGTCTCAGTTTTTTCATCTACAGATTAAGATAACTTCAGATATTTTAAGTAATTTGTTAACTCTTAACAACCTATTAACTTTTTCTAGTAAGCTAGCTGCTTTTATCTTCCTACCTCCTGATTTTATACATATTTTTCCATGTCTGTCTTATGCTTTTATAGAAAAACAAAATAATATTAATTTAATAAATAAATAAACTTATGAAGTTGATGGATACACAAAAGAATGTAATCAAATAACCTTTTTGTCTTTTTCTTTTCTTTAGGTGCTCTGGGAAGAAAATAAAATACTTCCAGAACAATGTAAAATTGAAGAGATACAGGTCATAGGGAAAAAATAAAACTGTCCATAAAACTAAACAAGATTGGATAATGTTCTTAGAAATTTCTTTTTTATAGAAAGAGAAGGAGATAAGAGAAGGGGGGAATGATAGAGAGGGCAGATTGGGGGAAAGGGCATTCAGAATGCCTAACCATCTTGGGGTTGGGGAGGGGAGAGATGGGAAGAAAATTTGGAACTCAAAATCTTGTGGAAATGAATGTTGAAAACTAAGAATAAATAAATTAATTTTTAAAAAGAAATTTCTTTTCTGATCTTTTTTCTTATTTCTATTTTTTTTCCTTTTCTTCCAAATAATTTTATGGTAACACATAAGGAGGAATGTGCTGGCAAATGTTTAACAACTGGTTCTCTGGGGGGGGGGAATAATGTAATTAAGACATACTTTTAAGTTAAATCTGCATTATTAACATTTTCTTCACCACTTTATTAATTCTAGACAACCAATAAAATGGTAAATCAAGCCCTAATTGGTAGTGATGCTCATTTCTAAGTTTTAAATGCTTAAACAGAAATTTTAACAGTCGGCGCTGATGAGATTGTTTGAGCTCACCGAAGCACACTTTCAGACATGTCCACTTACTTGGGGTTAGACTTTTGGAAACCTCAGTAAGAGAATCTGGTGGCATATTCCCACTTTAGCTAAATTAATTTTTTTTGGTCTTTTTTTATTCTGACCTTAAATTCCAAAAAGAAGAAACAATTTCTATGCAGACAGCCAAATACAAAAGGGAGGATTGTATAAAACTGTGAATCTTAGTTTCACATTGCTTGCTTTAAAAAAAAAAGTGTTATTTTCAAAATTGCTCTGCATGTCTGTGCTTCCTTCTGTGCATTTTTTTTAGCTTCTGTGCATTTAAAAAGTGTTTCAATGGTCCTCTTTTTTCATTGTTATTGCCAATTCTCCCTTTCCTCTCTACCCTGGCCCTGCCCCTTAAAAACTGAGAGAAAGGAAAATAAAAACCCTTGTAATAAATAAGCATAGTCTCTTCCCTACAGGAAAATAGAAGGGAAAGGAGATAAGAGAAGTGAGGGGGTGAGATAGAAGGGAGGACAGATTGGGGGAAAGGGTATTCAGAGGCTTTCTTGGGGTGGGAGGAGGGATGAGATGGGGAGAAAATTTGGAACTCAAAATCTTGTGGAAGTGAATGTTAAAAACTAAAAATAAATCAATAAGAAAAAAAGAAAAAACATTTAGAGAACAGAAAAATAATAATAATAGAAAAAAACTAAAAATAAATAAATCAGCAAGAAAGATGAAAAATATTTAGAGAACAGAAAAATAATAATAAAAGAAAAAACACAATAAATAAATAAATAAGCATACTCAAGCAAAATTAATTCACAAAGTGGCCTTATCCAAAAATGTATGTCTTTCTGTATCTTGAGTCCACCATCTCTTTTGTCAGGAGGTAGATAACATACTTCATCATAGGTCTTCTGGACATGGTTAGTAGTTGCATTGATCAGAGTTCTTAAGCCTTTCAAAATTATTTTTCTTTACAACACAGTCCTTGTATAAAGTGTTCTTCACTTATCAATTCATATCACCCAGGATTGTCTATAATTGTATCTTTTGTCATTTTTTTGTTGTAGAAATATTCCATTATATTCATATAACATAGTTTGTTCATCCATTCTACAACTGATTATTGTTTTCCCCTTAAAGTCTATGTCTTTGTTTTTCCCCCACCCCTTTAATTTCCTCCTTCAGGATCAAGTACATATGTGTCTCTTCCCTACCCACTATCATGCTCCCTCTTAATCTCTGTCCTGCCATTGCTTGTTTACATCCTATGTGATTTACTTTCACACCAAACTCTGTGTGTACATATGCGTAACCCTTCTTTGTTTAAGATAAGGGAGCAGTTCATCTGATGCCCCCCTCCCCTTTCTTCATGTTTATATAGCTTTTTCACACACCTCAGCAAAGGAGACTAAGGAGCATTCAGACTAGCAGAAGGAAAAGGAGAGTGATTCAACAAGAAGAGGGTAATTCACAAAGTCAAAGCGTACAGAGATTAAGATAAACGAGGAGGGAGAAAAGGCCATTAGATCTGGCAATTAAGAGATCATTAGTAACTTTCAAGAGAACCATTTCAGTTGAATGATGAGGTGGATAGCCAGACTAAAAACAAAGTCAAAGGAAATGAAGTGGAGACAATTGTAAACAGCCTCAAGGAGTTTAGCCACAAAAAGGGAGGAAAGGTATAGAACTGTCTAGTGGGATGGGAGGGTCTCAGGAAAACCCTCTCTGCGGCAAAGCACTTTTTATAACTCTCTGATCAATTTACTATTAAACTCACAACAATACCTTTTTCTAACTTCCCACAAATGAGGATTTATTGAGGATTGAGGAGACATGGGTGTGTTTGTAGGCAGAAAGGAAAAAGACAGTAGACAGGGAGAAATTGAAGATAAATGAGAGAGTGGGGGTGATAGAGGAGGCAATCTGCCTGAGAAATCAGGATGGAATGAGATCACTTCTACATGGAAAAGGGTTTGCCTTGGCAAGAAGGATCACCTCTTCTTGTGAGACCAGGGTTAATGAAGAAAGAGTGGCTGAAGACATCTGAGTGATGTCAGATGAGAAGATGAAATTTTTTGTGAATGGTCTCAATTTATTCATATGAGGTAAAGTTCTCAGTTGGGAGGGTGGAGGGATAGGAAGCCACGGGAGGCTTGAGGAAAGATGAAAAAAATCTGAAAAAGTTGCTGCGGTGAGTTTAATAGTAAACTGATTAGAGTGTTATAAAGAGTGTTTTGCCACAATGAGGGTCCTGTTGAGGTTACTTAATATAAATTTATGGTGGACTCAAGTCACCCTGGTTTCATGATTTCCTCTAGCTTCATTCGGCAGCATGTAAGAGAGAAGACAGCAGATGGTGAGAGCAATCCAAGGCTGAGCCTTGGCGGAACAAGATCCATGATACGACAAGGGAACAAGGAACCGGAGACATGAGGACAGTGTACATTTGAACTGGTTCTCTAAGGGATCAAGATGGGGAAGGGAGGAGAGTGTAGCTTGTGCAGGGAAAGTGGCCTGGGAAAGAACTGATGGGTCAGAGAATTAAGAATAAAGCAAATAAATAAAATAAAAATAGGAATAAAGAATGGTGTTTGGCATTGCATGGCAGAGAGTGAAGTGGAATGGCAATGAAGAGATAAATTAACTTCAGTGCTCATTAACAAAGAAGAGGAATATTTGTGAGTAATAACAAGATGGAGAGTAAGACAACTATCTCTGTACAGCTGAGGTTAGGAGTGCCTGGGAAGTATGTAATAGGAAATGAATAAGTTGAGGAACCGCTTGAGATAGAATCAATATGTATGGTGAAATCCCCTAGTCACACTAGGGCAAGGACTGGAGAGAAGAGAGACTGATCAAGGCATTGAATTCCTTGAGGAAAGAAAGAAGTGTCCTGGAAGCTGGTAGACAGCAGCTACCAGAATTTTGATTGGGTAGGCCATAACCTCAAAGAAGAAGTTCCTGGGTGATGGTGGTAGAGGGAGAACCTAGAAGTGGCAATAAAGAGCATGAAGTATTCCAACTCCCCTTACCACCTCTCTTGGAGAGCAGTAGGAGTGAAAGTGCAACCAGTGCTGGAAAGTGTGTCCAGAGAAGCTGTGTCATAAGAAGGAAGTTGATTCTTAAGTGCAAGAAGTTGGAAGGAATGAGAAAGGAAAAGGAAGGTTTAATTAGAAGAAAGATTTTTAAAATTTGTTTTGTTCTGACTACAGAACAAACAATAATTGTTAAATTATCTCTCGAACCAATTTTTGTTATTTTTTTTCTTACTATCAGATATCTTACATTTTCTTTTCTTTTGTCAAGCTCTAGATTTTGCTCTAACATTTTATCCTGTTATGGAGTCATTTGATTTCAGGAAGTTTATTTCTAAGGTTTACCATTTTCTCTTCTAAGCTATTTATTCTTTCACATCTTTTCTCCTGAGCTTTCCTTTTATTTTTCATCTCTTGCTTTGTTTCTGTTAAATATTCATGTAGTCTTCATAGAAAATCCTCTCCCAGTTGTTACAGAATTACTCCCTCTTTTAAGGCATCTCCAGATCTACAATAATTTTTGATACTGGTCAGTTTTCTCTTTTACTTGTTTCTCCAGCTTTGATTCCTGAACCAGGGTTTTGTGCCAGGGCCAGGATCCATGCCCTGCTGGGCTTTTGGGTGGGGTGGTTATCTTACTCTGGGCCCTCTGGGTTTCCATCTTTACCTTTACCTCCAAGGATCAGTACCCAATGGATCTTTTGAGTTTCTGAGCATTAGATATTCAAAGCCCTCTATGGCCTTTCAGGACAGAGTGCTAGAGGCCTCAGCATACCCAGATAACTGAGCCATCCTATTGTGAGCCATGTCACTGGTTGCTACTCCCCAGGTCTTCCAAGGTTGTCACCCTGGGGCTTTCTGCCCACTTGGGAAAGGAAGTATCTGCTCTTCTTGCCTCTTCTTCAGTGTTGTAGCTACACGTCTCTGGCTCTCAACTGGTAGTGCTGAAAGGCTAGACTTGCTAATGCTGACTCTGCTGGTAGTCCCTTCTCTAATTGCCTTAGGGCTTCCATTCTGGGGTGGAAGAAGTTACTTATTGTGGCTTCTCATTGGATGTCTGGATTTGAACTAGTGCAAATTTCAGGTTTTTCCTGGAAAAGGTATATGGGAGCTAAGTGAAATGGAATATTGAAACGAATGCTGAACTTGAGGTCAGACCTAAATCTGAACTTGCCTGCCACAAGGCTCTGCCTACTCTATTCCATTCTCCACTCAATTGTCAAAATGATCTTCCTAAAGACCTGGTCTGAACATGTCAACCCCCTACTCAACCCTAACAGCTCCAGGAATACTGTTCAGCATTCAAAGGCCTTCATAACCTGTCTCCTCTATTCTGACTCCCCTGTCCATGTACTTCGCAAACCAGTGACATTGGCCTCCTTGCTATCCCATTGCTCGATTCTGGGCATTTTCACTGTATGTCCCCCCATGCCTGGAATGTTCTCCCTTCTCATTTCTGCCTCATGTCCGTGGCTTCCTTCCAAGTACCAACTAAAATCCCATAGGAAGCCTTTCCTGAACTCCCTTAATTCTAGTCTAGTGCCTTTC